ACTTTTATTTTGCATTTTTTTGCATTTTTTAAACTTTTTCAGTTTTTAAAGCATTTTTTGACATTTTTAGAGCATTTTCCCATTTTTAGGTCATTTTTCATATATATTTGTTGCTTGGAATTATAAAATTTTAGCTATTTTTAAGAAGATCGGCTGATTGTATCTATCAATACGGCTATACGTAATTCCCATCAAATAATCTCGATAACGTTACGATACGCGATATAAAACTAATTGGTGTCCGATTATAAGTAGGTACTATAAGTAGTAGTTAGTCGTCAGTCATATTCGCTATGGTAATTCGAATAAGTGTGAAAGATGCCGAAAATTAAGCCGTCCGACCGTTGTCGTTTGCGTGTGTATGTACAAGAATTCGGTGAAAACAATTAATAATTATTAATTAACATAAAACATTTTTCAGGCTAAAAAAGAAGATAAGTGAAAAGACAAAAAAGTTTTTTTTTTTATTGTATATATTTAAATATTTTTTTTATAATGATGAATTTTTTATAAATTTTAAGTTTTAATAATATTATACACACACAAAACTGTTCAAAATTTTGTTTTTATCGAATTTAATAACATTTTTAAACATCCTATTTATAACTGAAAAGTACTTCCGTTCTTTATTAATGGTATTTGAACCATGGAGTGAAAAAAGAAAATTAATCGGTGTAAGCAACACATATTTTGAGGCATTTATGTTATGTAAAAATATAGTAGAATCAGTAATAGATTATCATAATCATCTGCAATATCTTATCACATCTAAAGATGATATTAATAGGATTATTGTAGAATTGCAAAACAACCAAATGTCACATACTACAAACGAAACAAACGATGAGTTTCAAATTAATTAATTAGAAGAAGCTATGGAAGTGCTACAAAATAATGCAAATAATACAAAAAAATGAAGAAAATGTAGAAACTTTAATAGAAAACTTAAACTTTGATCAAAAATAAGTATTTGATTTTGTTAGGGGTGAAATAGCAAGTGAAAATAGATCACCAATACGTCACTTTGTTTCCGGTGTATGGGGTACAAGGAAATCATATTTGATTAAAACTATTAAGGCATATGTATCAAACTAATTATATCGAAATGTAGCTATAACAGATCCAACGGGAATAGCTGCATATAATTTACAAAGTATTCGCCGTTTTCGCAGTTACTGGTAGAACATAGACACACTCCACCATACAGACCCTAATCAAATGATTCTCTTAATTCGTGAAAAAATGAAAAATGTAATTTTTTAGTCATAATTTACGAGATAAGTATGGTATCTAATGAGAAATTGATTTATAAACATTTAGGACTACGTGACATTTATGATACTGGTAACAGTGATGACGGTTGGTTTGGGAAAATCAATATCTTAATTTTTGGAGATCTTCTTCATCGCCATTTCTACCATAAAATGCAAAAAATAGTGATAAATATCTACATGCATTAGATGCTATAAATTTGTGGGAAAAGTTGTTTACTTACAATGAATTAACCAAAAACACGAGAAAAAAAAATAGTGATCCTGAATATGCTAATATACTGGATAGAATTAGAATTAACACAGTTACACGATCTGATATTCAAACTATGAATAAACAAAAAATTTGTTTTAAAATCAAAGAAAATCCTGCAGATATAATAAGACAATTGTACGTAACTAAAATGAAGCTACCAGATTTTACACTATTTCTACTTTCTACAAGAAAACATTGGTCATTTTTAAATAATGGAATATAATCTTTATTACTTTCAGATAACATTCGTTTGGAATCAATTAATTCTGTTGATTGTAATCCATAAACTAAAACAAAGCTACAACAAATCTGTCGAAACTTGATGATGATATTTCGCGGACAATTGGTCTTTAAAAATATTTAAATGTGAAGTTAAACTGTAAAATCATGTTACAAAGAAATATTGATGTATCAAGTGGTTTGATTAACGAATTTATAGGAACAGTTAAAAATATAATTATTGGAATTGATGGCAAGCCTCAACAAATCCAAGTGATCTTTAACGAAGAAATGTATCACCTTAAACATGTTACAACAAGTATGAACTTTTTCACGGATCATTCGTATTCAGAAAATAATTTCCCATAACGGTAGCTTATGGAATTACTATTCACAAAAGTCAAGTTATGTCGTTGGAAAATTGTATTGTAGATGTTACTAACTCTATATTTTCTTGTGATCAAACAT